CCCCTGCCTGCCTGCCTGCCTGCCTGCCGGCCGGCCCCGAAACACGAGTGGCGCCGTCGCCTCCGACGTCCCCAGACAAAGTGTCGGGAAAGGGAAATGCTTTGCTTCGAGGGTCTCGTTTCCCTCGTCTCCGGGGCCGTAGCGGGGAGAAGCGGCTTTCCGGGGAATTTGGCCTCACATGTTTAATAGAGCTGCTCTGCTAAAACGAAAGGCGGCCAACAAACAACCTGATATCCCAGATTTTAAAAGGCATAACGGTTCTCTCTCTCTTTGTATAAACTTAGAGTTGTTTTCCCTTCTTCAGGGCCGACTACTGGAAATCACAACCAAAGAAATTCTGTGACTACTGCAAGTGCTGGATAGCAGACAACAGGCCTGTATGGAATTTCTCGTAAAATATCCACGTGACATGTTGCTTTTTGATCTAAGTAGAGTTTACAAAAACCACTTTCATGTATAGAGCTCTTGATTTTTCAAAACCTAGAAAGATTACTTTTTTGTTTGGTTGGTTTTGGTTTTGGGTTTTTTTGTTTGTTTGTTTGTTTGTTTTTCCCGAGACAGGGTTTCTGTGTGGCTTTGGAGTCTGTCCTGAACTAGCTCTGTAGACCAGGCTGGTCTAGAACGCAGAGATCCACCTGCCTCTGCCTTCCGAGTGCTGGGATTAAAGGTGTGTGCCTGATACCACCACCTGGCAAATTTCTTTTATCTGATATCAATATTGAAGTATTCATTATTCTACTATAATATCTAAGATTTATATTTTAACATTTTATAAAATTTCAGATTTTTTTATAAGTAAAACACAGGTTGGGTATCTATTTTGTGAAATGCTTGGGACCAACAGTGTTCCAAGGTTTTGGAGGTGCTTTTGAAGTATTTTAAATATTCACATAGATCTTACCAGTTGAACATTCAAACTTGGAAATGCCATAACAATACAAACATACTATATTAAACATTAAAAACAAGAGTGTGGGGACTGGTAAAATGGTTCCACAGTAAAAAGTACCTACAACTTTTGTAGAGGGGCTGTGGTTCAGTTCCCAGCACCATATGGCAGTTCACAACCACCTGTTACCCAACAGCCTCTTTTGATCTTTATTGGTGACCATACTCATGAGTTGCTTATGAACTTAACACAGGTGCACACATCCACAAAATAATTTTTAAAAAAGACTATGGTATCTTGCCAGGCAGTGGCAGTACACACCTTTAATATAATATAATCCCAACAATGGGGGAGCAGAGGCAGATGGATCTCTTGAATTTCAGGCCATCCTGGTTTACAGAGTGAGTTGTTGGACATCCAGGGTTACACGGGGAAACCCTGTCTAAAAAAACAAAAGGAAATAAAACTAAAAGCAATGGTATTTTATATATGCATTACCTTATTACTTGGCAAAAATGTAACACACAAAAGAATATTGCCATGTTTCTTGCTGTATTCCCTCAGTAAACACCTTTAAATCTCCTGGAAGGTCTTTGGCTTTGAATCTTTGGCTTTGCTCTTCTGTTTTTGGTCTTACTGATTGTTGCTAAAGAATATGCATATTTTATTTGGCTTAGATTAATCCTACTAAAACTGCCATGAGATTTTAAAACCACACAACAAAAAAATTAACCATCCCTGGAGGTCCCTAAGAAGTAAAATGAATTTTATGAGCTATTGAAAATAAATTCTCTTTCCAGAAGTTTGTCTGCATCTCCCTAAACATCTAGTAATTTCACTACAAACAATATTTCTAGGATGGTCCTTTCACATAGTATTCTTTGTATGGTATATCACCTGTAGGTAACCTAGTATAGGAACAATAGATGATTGTTTGCTTTGCAAACTCCAGCCTTAATGAGGAATTCATAGGAGTATATTAGAATAGCTTGGTTAATGTGTCGTACAGGATTTGATTGACAGCATGTATTTTAAAGGCATTCTTGTTTCTTACCAGCAGACATTTAAAATTTATTGAAAATTCCTGACTGTTTAAGTAGGCCCCAGGGCTCACTCAGTCATCCATGTCCCCAGCCTTCTAATTAGTGTTCCTCTTCAAAAGTTAACCACTCCTTCCCCCGTGTCTATACTTTCATTGTTTTCCTGTGCATGTACTTTATTCCATCATGTTTACAGGTAGCACAGTTGTTTTGAGGGTTTGTTGTTGTTGTTGTTGTTTATCTGAAATGTATATCATAAAGGTGACTCCATGTCAATTCATAGGGGGCTGTGAACACCTTTCCTATGATAAAAGCCTGTGGGAATGTATGCAATTCTCTCAGCCAGTCCCCAGTAGATAGACAAGATTGTTGCTAGAAACAGTACTGTATTAAATAACCTTGTTTACTATATCATTTTGCACAATGTGAGGAATTTTTTAAAATTTGTGTAGGTGTGTGTATATGTGTTAGTTTTCATATTCTTCATTTTGGAAGTCAAAGGACAGCATTCATGTGGGTCCTGGGGGCTAAGGCGGGTTGTCAGGCTTGGTGGCCTTGGTACCCACTAAGCCATCTGACTTTCCCAAATACCTATTTTTCTGAATGTTTTAAAGACCAAGTCTTTAAGATATTCTTTATGTCTCTAATATAGCAAGCCAGAAAACAAAATTTTAGAGGCCTAACCAGTTATGACATTTGATGTTGACAGGAAGTAGCTTTTGTTGTTGTTGCTGTTATTGGGGCTTTTGTTTATTTGGTTGGGGGTTTTTTGGTTTGGGACATTTTTATTGTTACTACTGTCTTTTTGTTTTGAGATGGGTTATTGAAAGTAGCTTGAGCTGGCCTGGAACTTGGGTTTCTCTTGCCTCAGCCTTCAAAGGGTTAAAGATATATGCCACTGCTCAACTGAGACATGCTGCTTCTTGAAAGTTGTTCCCCACACTTAAGACATTTAAGTCCATACACCAGTATTCACTGGGTTAATCAGGAGGGTACTTGATGCTTCCTCCTGTTAGTGTGGTCATCCTGGCTCATGTTAATAACCAGAGAACATCTAGTGGAAACCACAATAATCTGCTTAGACCACTAGCATCATTTGATACAGGGGTCAACTTGCATTAAAACTAATCATTTTTATATTTTCTGCCATTTTAATCTTATATGTCAGCCCCATATTTACAGTATTAGTTTACTGTGAATTTAATGATGGTTTCCCCTTTTCCTTTTCAAGAGTGTTGAATTTCATGAGAGAGGGAAGAATCACAAGGAAAATGTGGCCAGGAGGATCAGTGAGGTAATTTCAGTTGGCCCTTTGCTCATTTTTCTGTGCACATGTTGATCTGTCTCTCACGTTCACTTGCACGTGTGTCTTGCATAGATTAAACAGAAAAGCTTGGATAAGGCAAAGGAAGAAGAAAAGGCATCCAAGGAGTTTGCTGCGATGGAGGCAGCTGCCCTGAAGGCATACCAAGAGGATCTGAAACGCCTTGGCTTAGAGTCAGGTAAAGCATCAACAAGACCTTTAAAAGTAACATCACAGGTCCGTGTGTGCTGAGGGACCTTTTAATCATTTCCATATAGAAGTTAGGTACTTGAAATATTCTAGTGCTTTTATTGTGTATCATAGTCCTATTTAGAATGTGGACTTAAAAAGCTTATGTTTTGTGCTGTGGATATTGTGGTTGTTGAGATACAATCTCCCAGTATATCCTGGACTGGTCTTGATCTTGTGGACCTCCTATTAGGCCTTCTGAAATTAAAAAGCAGGAGCTACCATACCTGGCTTGTTTTTGTACATCACTTATTTATTTATCTGTTTGTGTTGATGGATGTGTGGAGGTTTGGGACAATTTGGAAGAGTCAGTTCTCTCCTTCCACCATGTGGCTCTAACTCAGGTCATGAGGCCCAGTGACAAGTGCCTTAACACACTGTACCATCTTTCTGGCCCCATGTTTTGTTTTTAATCCTTTAATGCATCATCTTTTGATATCCTTATTCATATCAATGTATTACTTTTACATTCACCTAGTCCTATCTGTAACCTAGCTGAATGATTCATTTCCTAAACCTTGAGGTTTCTTTTTTAGATACTCATTGTTACAGGCACTGCTCATAAAAAAACAAAAAACAAAAACCTTGCATTATAATTATGTATTTTCTACATGGCCAAACTGAGTTATATCTATCTATATGATTGGCTACACAATGAAGGATTTGCATTTTATAGACAAATAATTGACTTTACCTCAAACAGGCAGGTTATTTTGACGGTTTGACTAAGGGTTGTTATTGAATGTTTCCGTCAGCTTGAACTTAGGCTCTGAAGTAGGAAGTTCTTGTGAGCTTTCTTCTATGACAAATTGTATTAGTGACTTTTCTGTGACGAAATACCTGACAGGAAGAGCTTATGGGGTAAACTGTCAGCTCTGGTCAGTTTCAGAAGTTTGGGTCCGGGCACCTGGGAGGGCACAGTAGGGGTGCTCGAATTGAAACATTCCCACGATACAGACTGGAAGCAGAGAGAGCAGACCAGAGCCTGAAGGCAGATATAAACTCAGAGGGTGGCCCCCACTGATGCACCTCCACCAACCAGGCCCCACCTCCTAAAGCTCCACAGTAAGCTGGGAGCCAAGCTCCTAAACCAGCTGTAGAGTAGATCTTGACTGTTGGACTTGTATAGTGGCTCAGATAATCAGGTAATTTAATTTTTTGACTTTGTGAACCAAATTTTGTGACTTTATTGGGCTTAACTAAACAGCGTGAATGGGGAGTTGTTTATAGGCCCATGGATGACCCCAAACAGCTGCATCATGACAAAAGCATACCCCATCATAGGTTGCTACCTTGGGGACTCTACAACATGGAGCCTCTTTTCAATTAACCTTTCTTTTTAACTTCAGCATCTCCCAAAATCACCCATTGGGAGGGGAGCTGGAACATGATGGAATAATAGCTAGCATCCTAGGTGAGGGGGAACTGGTCCTGTGAGTGTCCCCTCCCTCCTCTTGGAATATGTCAGCATGTATTGGACCATCAGTTGCTTGTTTATTTCCTTGCCATGCCTGGATCAGGGTGGGTATTCTCTATTCCAAGATGGTGATGTGATCGTGTTATGGGGTGGGGGGATGTCACACTACGACAAACAACATCTCCATCTCCTAGCTCTTGTAATCTTTTTGTTTGTTTGTTTGTTTGTTTGTTTTGAAGGGGGGGTTGTACTGGCACTCACTCTGTAGACCAGGCTATTCTTGAACTCACAGACATCCACCTGCATCTGCTTCCTGAGTGCTGGGATTAAAGGTGTGCAACACTTCACTGCCCAGCTGGCTCATGCAGTCTCTCCCCCTCTTTTTCCTAAGAGAGGTTTCCTGGGCCTCAGAAGAGTTGAGATATAGAAGATCCCTTTATGAGCATTGGATAGTCACACTATATCATTACTTATTCTCAGTAATTTAACTAGTTATGACTCTCTCCGTTAATAACCATGGCCACTGTAAGAATTCGTCTTCTGCAAGCAGGGAGGACTGGAGCAGTCTGACAGTTGACTACCTGAGAAGCACCTTGTGATACAACACAAGCCAGTGGGGAAGGGCTTCCTGCGCAGTCCCAGCCAAGTCTCTAATAAAAAGAACTCTTAATTATGGGTTTAAGCAGAATATTGCTTTCACAGTTGTCAGGGTAATGTAGTCTAAATGCTAGTATTTAAGGAAAAGAAGGGGTGTGTAGTACCAAAAAGTCATTTATTTATTAATGAATGAGAGTCTCACTGGTTAATACAAACTGGCCTCAAACTCACTATGTGATGTTGGACAGGTTTCCCAGTTCTGCGGTTGCAGGCATGCATCATTACACCCAACTGAATATGAAGCATTCTGAGAGGAAAATTAGATAGGAATCTTCTGGACAATTGGAGAAGGGTTAGTTGGAAATTCATCTTGTTAATTTTATGTATGTATAGATTAAAATATTCCATTTCATTGCCATTTTAAGGTTAATTTTTTGTTTTTTTGAAACATAATGAGTGGCCTCGAACTCACAGAGATCCATCTGGCTTTGCTTCCCAAGTGCTGGGATTAAAGGTATGTGCCACCACACAGCACAGATTAGTTTTGAATATACATTCAAATATCTCGATGTCCATGGTGGGGGTATTGGTTTGTCTGTTTTGATATTGAGTCTCGCTATATAGTTCTGGCTAGCCTGGAGTTCACTGTGTAGCCTAGGCTGGCCTTTAAGTCAAGGTAGTCAGGCAGGCTCGGATTCTAGATGTGAACCACAATGACCCTGTGGGTTTCTTTTGGATTTTATGTATTGTGTTCTGTTAAAGATCTTCACCCCCATGCACACCGATAATCACAGCACTCAGGAGACAGAAGCTGGTGGATCTTTGGTTCAAGGCCAGATTGGTCTACAGATCAGATTCCAAGACAGCTAGGGCTACACAGAGAAATACTGTCTTAAAAAAAAATAATGTTGCATTGTATCTTGAATATATCTTTTTTGTCTTTACTTTTCTCTGTAAATTCATCTTCTGGACAAGAAATCTAGCATCAAAGGATGAATGTAGTGTAGTGTAGCTGATGCTAAGCTAGCTCAACAAATGTTGGACTAATTTATGTTTTTATAGAGATAAAAAGTGGCTAACTGGTGTTGGAAGTATTAGCAGTCTTTTTTGTTTTCTAAGATTTATTTATTATGTATACAGTATTCTGTCTGCATGTATATGCCTGCAGGCCAGAAGAGAGCACCAGATCTCATTATGGACGGTTGAGAGCCACCATGTGGTTGCTGGGAATTGAACTCAGAACCTCTGGAAGAGCAGGCAGTGGTCTTAACCACTTAGCCATCTCTCCAGCCCCCTTATATCTCTCTCTTTTCTTTTTTCTTTTCTTTTTCTTTTTCTTTTTTTTTTTTTTTTTTTTTTTTTTTTTTTTTTTTTTTTTTTTTTTT